TACATACTTTCCTGACTGTGTTTCAATTCCAAATCAAAATCAATTCCTGGGCTTCAGTCATTTATTGTCTATTTATCAATTAAAATACGTTTCGATGTTTTCCACCATAATCAGTTTCTATTTTTACTACTAGCGTTGTTGCTTTTACTAGCGTTGTTGCTACTGCCTTGGCATATATTTCTAGAAATATATGCCAAGGCTTAAAGTAGCAACAACGCTAGTAGTAAAAATAGAAACTGATGATGGTGGAAAACACCGAAACGTATTTTAATTGATAAATAGACAATAAATGACTGACGCCCAGGAATTGATTTTGATTTGGAATTTATATTTTTCAAAATTTAAAATTGATCTAATATAAGTTTTATTATTTCGTTTATTTGTGCGCAAATTATTGACTTTCTAAAACAATTTTTAATTAAGATTTGCGCCGATCTCTTTATGAATGTATACAAATACGTGATAATTAGAATGGTAAGCGGACGAATTAACAACTTTCTTTTGGCAGACTTGAGGGTCTGAGAAAGTGCAGTGTACAGAGTGTTACAATAATGATGCAAATGAAATCAGTAGAAAATGTAAAAACAAGGAAAAAAATTTGTTTTTTTTATGTCTATTTAGTATTTTACTGATCTGTTTCACGTGCAAAGTGCAAAGTGCAAGAAAATGTGGTCGAAAATATTCTTCTTGAAAAGCCGGAAGGAATATAAGTAATCGTATTTTTCTTTATTTGATGCCCGAAAGTTCGTTTGCAATTATTGAAACACTTCGCTGAATTTTCACCACCTGTACACCAGAAAACAAAAACTTTATCGTTTTTATGCATATTCATAGTGAATAATTACTGAAGAATGAAGAAGTAAAATGTGACTCATTGATTTAACAGCATTAACAGTTACTTACAGTCTTGAGACTTCACATATGACACTACAAGAACAGTTACAACCAGAAAAAGGTAACTTGGAGGTGCCAACCACATAATAAAACCACTTAAATCTCTGATTTTCTGAACCGACTGCTAGTTGTTTTACTAACCAAAGTATTTGGTTATCAAAAGTGTTGACGAGTAATGGAACGATGGAGAAATTGAAGACGCCCGCAAGGTGTTGCTTCTTTTCCGTCGATTGACCTCGTAATAAAGCGACCATGACCGAGACCAAGAACTGTTGTTACCAGATAAGTGAAGAGGCGAAAGGTATTTTAGGTTTTTAATTTGCATTGCTGGTATATATTTTTTTAAACAAATATTCAGGAACAATTTTTTAGTTAACTAGAAACAGTTTTTCTAGTCTATCTATATGAACATTTAACATGTTCATCAAGGGCGAGACCTTTTTGGTACAAAGGAACGAAGCCACTTAGCCGGTAGAACAAAACCGAATTTCCAAAAATTTTATTAACAAAACCTGAAATAAATCACACATACAAAAAGTATCCTAAAACACTAAAAACTTAACTAGTTTGATAACGCGTAATTAATCTGCAAAGAGTTCTTTAACGGAATAATTTTCGAACAGTTTGTTAACAACGCCGAAGATAAAGTCACTCACGACTCTTTGAATAACCGGCTGTAAATCATTGATTATCACCTCAATATTCTCATTGATCACTTTATTGGTTTTGTCGTTGATGTCGGTGTGATTTCCAAATAACTTTTCAAGAACCACATGCGAATCTTCCACTTCCAGCGAAATTGTTTCTTTTTCCCATCTCAGGTACTCTTTGTGGTTTTTGGTGAATGGCGTTCCTTTCAGGCCGAGGTGGACTTGGCAATTGGCTAAAAACATACAAAGTTGTTTATACAAATTTTAAAATGTTTTTTCAACAAAATTCGTTGACCCAATTTTTTTATGTACAGTTATTATGCTTCTTCAAAATCACACCTCAGTTTTACAGTTTAATTTTAAAACAGTTCAGCATACAGAATGTACAAAATTAAAAAACTTTAAAGTTGGAGCATATAAAAATCTCTACTTTACAAGATTCTGTCGAAATCGAATTGAAAATAAACATATAATTTCCCTTTAGATGAATATGTTAGTTGCATGTTAATGGTTTAAGCTCGATAGTTTCACTCAAAACCGAAAATTAAATAACTGATTAGTAAATCGATTAAAACAACTATAAAAATATACAAAAAGGGAAAACGAGAAGCAATTTACTATACCAAAAAGTATTGTAAGTGTTTGAAGTTCAGCCTTAGAAGATGTATTCGCTGGCTGAAGTTTTCTTAAGTTCCCCGACTCAACAAAAACGGAGCTAAATAGCAGAAAATCAAAGTATTGAAAAAACACAGTAAATTCGAAGTATGAATGCACCAAAACTGCAGCTTTGATTCCATTTCAGAGAACTTTCAAGCTCGAAAAACTGCTTCTAAAACACGTTTCTTTCAATTTCAACATTAATTTTTCATTATTCTGTCTGTTTGTGTAAAGTCGTATTCTTACTGTAGTTTCCATCAGCAGGTCCTTGTTCATCAAAGGTGACGATCCAGAATTTTCCATTAACATTGTAAGTGGACTTGATCCGTAGATGAGGAAATGTAATGCTGAGATTGACTTTATGAAGATCCAAATCAAGGTCAAATTGATCCAATTGGAACTTATCCGCATGGAAGATGTGGATATCCTGAAATAAGTCCATTATCCAGTGCAAAAAGGTGGCGGTCAGTGCTTAAAAGCGAAAAGTTTTTCGGGCTTTTAAATTTAAAGATGCAAGCCATTCTTGCGTGCGAACCATCAAGAGGAAGGAAAAACTCTCCAGTTTCAACGACTGGGTTTGTTTGCAACACCAATTTTTGAACAGGAAATTTGTCATGTTGAGTCAATTTTTACCTATACATTTCATTCATTAAAAATCTTATTTCATTTTGCTTCCTACCGTGAAAATAACTTTGACTTGATCCTCCTCATTAACACAAGTTGGCGGTATCAACAGTGGATCCAGCGATGGAATGAACAAATCGGGAATTCCTTCCTTTAGATGGGGTTTCAAGATCTCAATGTTCTCTTCTACGCACTTGTGGATATTCGGGTCGGTTCTATTGCAAGGTTTAATGTACGACGCTACAAAGCAATTACCTTATGTAAATAACTGCAATTGAAATGTGCGTAAATGATTCTAAATGATCAAACGAATGTTTGCGACACTAAATTTCCGCAGAAACAATAAAATATATAAAATGTGATTCAACTTACGCAGAGTATGCTCTTCTCCATTACTCCAACTAATGCACACAAATAGAATCAGCGCGACAACTCGAAAGCCCATTGTGGTGTTAAGGAAACTTTTGTGTCTTCAAATCTACTTAGTCAACTGATCTTCAACTGGCCACTCTTTTCGCATAAACAAGAATAACTCGTATGGTAAATCGTATTTCAATAATTACTCACTTTATTGGACTGGTGGTAACTTGAGATTTGAATAAGACGCGATACTTGTGCGCCTTCGGGATTTGCTTTATTGGCGATTGAATGGACGTGCACTAAGGTGGGAAAAACGAAATTTGTTCCTATCCAAGGATGCTAATTGAAGTAGTCAAATGAATAATTGAACGTTAATCTCAATTGCTAAGTAAGTTTAATAGTATGTAGAATTGTTATATTCGAATGTTTTGCTCCCTAACTTGGCTATCTGAAAAAGACTCTCCGACAACTAACCGAAAATTGAAATAAACCTGGTAGGCATCAAACGATTTCTGCCATTACGCCAATGATACAAATGGAAAGTTGTGTGTGTTGTTGTGTTAAAAAATAATTATTTAAATCAAATAACATTCAGCCAGATGAACGTCTATCATTATCGGTTTCACAACTCTGCTGGGGGCACCTTTAGCTCAGATTCGTTCTTGGAATATTAAGATTAATAGAAGGCACATGCTGCATTTTTTCCAATTCCGAGATTTTCTTTAAATTTCCTTTCAGTATTGATTGGTTTAATCGCGTTTTTATTCGTTGTTTTTCCAAAGCTGCACTTACGAACTAAAAATCGTTGGTTTGAGCAAAGCTACCAGCGCGAAAGGTAAAGTAAAAACTCATTTCGACAAACTGATAAATTGGGCAATTATTTGCTTCTATTTTCACAAATGTGCCCCAAGCATAAATTTGAAGTTCAGATAATTGTCATCGTTTTAGCACATGAAAATTATTAAGTTAACACATATTTTAAATAATATTGATACTCTTCCTTATTATTATTTGACAAAGTTACTGTTGTCTTTTCTCAATAACTAATTATTCCATAATTTCCCTATCATTCACAAAATAATTAATGAATGTCATAGTTTTGAGCAATTTTTTTCTTAGTCTTGGTTCGAAGGTTTGAATTATTTTCTTATTGATTTATATAATCCGTCTTTATTGCATGCTTCACTCCAATAAGATTAACAAAAAACAATACAAAACCAGTAGTAAAAACTGCCATTTTAAGCTCATTTCAAAAAGCTGAAAAACGATTCTTTGTTTTTCTTATTCATTCAATTTGTGTATTTGTGTGAATATAGCTTTATTTTTAGAATGCATTATCGTTTTTAGTATTTTCAAATTGAATGAGCTTCTGAAAGTATTTTATATTTACAAGTTTTTTTAACTTTTCTGTTTTGTATATTTTCAAGAGTATTTAAGATCGAGAGCGCTCAAAAATCGCGTAAAATGAACCAAAAATGTCGTTTTTTCGGATACGAAGCTTCCAGCTGGGTTTTCTATGGGCTTGTTGCATTCGTCGTTTCCTCGAGATGAAAATGGTGAAATACGAGACATTTTGAGAAACTTAATATTTTTTGCAAACATCGACCTCCACCCTTGGAAAAATTTCGACCAAAATTTGAAATTTTATTTCCCTGTTTTTCCAGTTTAATGGACTGTTTACGGTCTAAGAAGCTCCGTAATATGCATATATAAGGTGGTCAAAAATCGCTCAAAATGAACCAAAAATTTCGATTTTTTGAGACCTGAAGCTTCCAGTATGCTGCTCATTGAGTTTTTTGCATTCCTCGCTTTCTCGAGAGGAAAATAATGCAAGTTTAGTTAGCTTGAGGTAGTATGTATGTAGTAAATTTTGCTCGATATTTTCCTTATCAACTGTATTTAGAAGCTCCAAACTTGATTTTTTGTACTAAGTTGCATCTGAGTCTTAAACAGCAATAGTTTTTTTGCTTCAGTCTCATTTTTTATTGAAGTTCTTAAATTTTTCCATTATTACTAGCGTTTTAATGTTACAACTGCAAATATCCTTCGTAAGACCAGGTTGAGGAGCCAAATTATCTGAAAGTGTCCATCGTAGTTATCACTTTAGGTAATTGCGTATTCTTGTAAATATCACATAATCTCTACAGTATTACGATAGTCAAACGATCAATGCAATTAACGGAGTTTCGTAAGATCTGAGTTGTAAAGGTGTTACGTAACAGTGTCCGAACAAGGCTATTAAAGGCTATTGAAAATGGCTTTCTTTTCTCCAATTTTTCACGTGTCATGTAAACAAAAATGGAAACTAGTAAAAAAGTAATTGACTAAACCAATCAGATAACAAAAATAAATATAATTACAAATCATTTTATTTAAGGATTATTTTAGTTTTAAGGTTTAATTGTGCCTCAGCAAGGCGTTGTTTGGGGTTCACAGAAAAAGAAACAGTCTTTTTAAACCTCCAAGTTTTGCGCGGTTTTAGGAGTCCGCTTTTTATCATTGGTGATAGATTTAGAAGCCCGATTTCGAGAGAGGAGAAACGTACACATTTCTTCACTTACGCAAGTGAAGAAATGCCGACAGTTTTCGCACAAGAAGCAAAATTGCAATATCAGATATTTAAATACCAATTCAGGCCAACATTTCACGCATTTCCCCACCTTTTGGCTCATTTCTCAGGATCAGATTGAGCTTGAGAGCTCATTTATTCCGCACTAAATAGAGGACCAAATGGAGCTTCTGGGAAGTGAATCTTCTAGAACATCAAATATCTTAACGCACCTTAAATATGCGCATGTAAAATTTGAATTTATGTCTAAAAAATTCATTAAGGAACAATTTTTTCAAAAAGTATTAGACAATGGATTGCGCTTTACAGAAATAATGCTTTATATTAAACTTATAATAAACTTATATCTTGAAACCTTTACTCAGAAATTTTGGTCCATGGCAATTAACTTTATGATCCTCTGACGAAAGAAAGACGTTGCATAAAAAACGCACTTAAGTTTAATTGTCGGTAGCTTTGTAAGTGTTGGTGCGCCTTTAACAAATTGCATCTTTCAAACTAATCCAAGCAGCAAGTTGAAAATTTCTCCCACTATTCGAAACGCCTTGAGCTGAACATGCAAAAAGTTTCATGTAAATCCCCCGGAATCTTGATTTTTGGTAGATTTTTAAATGTTGGTCTCAAAATTGATGTTTCCAGTCAACTGCACTCTGGTTTTTGAACAATCGAATTTGAACAACAACATCTTTCAAGCTAAGATTCAGGAAGTTTTTCAAAAAACTTCCTGAATCTTGATTTTTGGTAACATAATGTAAATTTTGGTTTCAAAATTAATGTTTCCAGTCAACTGCACTCTTTCTCAGCCCATAAAAGATCTTCTTATGTGAGCTTGTAATTTTCGAAAATACTGTTTACTATATTATAATTAATGTAAGTCTCAATTTTAGCCAAACACATGTTCTGATGAGTTTCGATAAAAAAAAACAGTCAACAAATTCAGAAAAATATTCTTGTATCGGTCTAAATTGTCTAACATTATCTACGAAAGCGGAAACAGTTCATCCATCGAATACTTGGCAAACAGTCGATTAATAAGCGAAAAAACAAATTCGCTAACAATTTTCTGGATAACTGGCTGCAGTTCTTCGATCAGTTGATCAATGTTCTCGTTAATCACTCGGTTCGTTTGATCGTTCAGTTCTTCATTGCTGCCGAAGATTTGCTCAAAATACAAGTTGATCTTCCCGATCGAAATGTCGATGTCTTCTTTGTGCCATTTCACATACTCCTTGTTGTTCTTCTGGAATTGTTCACCTTTGAGGCTAAGGCTTGTACGAACATTTGCTAAGAATTAAATGAGAAATTTAATCAATATTTTTTTTAATCGCGGTTACTCACTGTAATTGCCATCAGCAGGCCCGTGCCCATCCAGATTCAGGATTAGAATTCGTCCTTTGATGTTGTAAAGGGATTTTATTCGTAATGATGGAAATGAGAGTTTCACTTTAATGTGGTATGTTTTGAAGTCAGTCTCGAAAGATTCTAGTTTAAACTGGTCGGCACCATATAGCTGAAAAACACTTTTTTAAACATCAACATTCAATAGCAGAAAGTAAAAAACTTTGCTCTTGAACTCGGGAGATTTACACGCAGTTTATTTAACATTCAATTATCTTTTATGGCCAGATAATATTCATGAACAAGTTTTACGTGCTTCTTAACACTTATTAGCACTTTCAAACCGAAAATACTTCCTGTAATAGTTGCAATGATGCAATCCTTTCAAAAAATTGAGTGGGTAATTTTTCCCGTTTTGTAACCACTTATTCTAGATAATTCTTCCATATTCCTGTTCAGAATGATTTTGGTTAGGATATTTTTGTTTTGAGACTTTAAAGCTCGGTAAAAATGTGCAGAATGTGATTGTTCTGTTATTCAAATGCTCTTGTTAGTTAATTGTTTTTCTACACTTTGAGTTCAATCATCGTTAAATAACGATTAAGTTGATCAACCATTAATCATTCAACCATCGATAGACGCGCAAATAATCGAAAGTAAGTAATTCGGAAAAACCTACTTGTATATTTTTAAAACTGGCTTGAAACGATTGGCTGCCACTTAAAGAAGCTTCAGGAATCTCCAGAGGGTTCATTGAAGGAACAAACAATTCCGGAATGCCTCGCTTCATCATTGGCCGCAGAATTTCCACATTTTTAATCACACACTGTTCCAAGTTTGGATCGTTTCTTTTGCATACTTGGATGAATTTTGCTGAAAAAAACACGCTTATTGTGAACACAAAAGGGGGGATGTAGAAACAAACTATTTATGCGATCACGTGAAATAAAGTCAAAATGAGAACATTTCTTAGAATACAGAGTGATTCAAGAGAAATGGAGATATTTGAGGCAAAGTAAACTCATAGGGTCTAGTCGAGTTTCTATTTGGTTCAGAGATATTTTGATTAATTGTAATGCTAAAACTCTTACAAATTAAATTTTTAATTATTATTTGTATTACAAATTACTAGAAAACCAACGAAGCAATACAAAAAAATATAAAAACTTATACGATTATAAACAAAAACTTTTTGCGCGTTCATAAACTGATCTAATAGAGATATTTATTTAACGATGGTTTAAGTACATTATTTTTGTAGATAATTTTTAAAGTAACTGATGTTAAATTGTTTTAAATGTTTGTGTAATTTTTCCAAGAAACTTATATTCCAAGAATTTCAGCGATAGATTGAAACTACATTGAATTATTTCGAATAGTAAATTACATATTTAGAAAGATTATTAGTTTCGTTTATAACAATATCATAATTTATCTTGAAGAAGCCACTTAATCGCGCATCGCTTGCGTCCACTTTTGTAGTTTGTTTTGCTTATTTTGATTTCGTTGGTATATCCTTAAAAATGCCCACGAAATATGAGCGAATTTTGGTTTTTCGATAGCAGAAAACTCGAAGTAATTTTGCTCACTTAAATATAAATTTCAAAACCCTAAGGGCATTTTATAAAGGATATTTTGTTACAATGCAAAATGAAATAACGGCTAAATATAAGTTTTCCTTTACAAAATTTCCAGTTGAGTTTTAGGAAAAATGGCAATTAAAATGCCGAGTCCTAAGTCTTAATTAATGGTAAATGATATTACGTAAGTGAAACGATCGCTTTCTTTTAAATTACACGACTTGGCTCTACTGACGGTTGAATAACAAGGTTAAAGTTTATAAATAAATAATAATCAAGGTGAGTGGAGATTTATTGTACATTCTTTTATAAAATAGGGCCCCAATTAATACCATTACATTCTTCCACAGAGTTTGGCTTTTGCGGTCATACACGAAATCGGTTTTGAAAGATGGTTTGCTTTGCAGCAAGCCACCACTGAAGATGCAAGCCACTCCTGCTGGCGAAACGTCAGGAATATTTTGTTCACCACGACGATTATCAATTCCTGAAAATGAAACTGGCAAGTTTTTCGGTAACCTAAACCCAAACGCGAAAAAATCATCAGTTTCAATACGTTCTTCAGCTCTCGGTTCTACAAATTTTCAGAATTGCTAAAGTTCTATTAAGTCCATACACCCGCAACGAGTCTAGAGCAAAAAAATATTTTTGTGATGGTGATTTGCCAAGCAGAGGCAAATTTTCTGGTTTTTTATAGGTAAATAATTTTTAAATAAAACTGCAAATTTGCATTCCCTTGCACGAAAATTCCGACTCTTTTAGAATATGGAGAAAAATTCCAATAAACTTTGTATACTTTTTCAAATAAAGTGACGTTGAATAATACTTACGTAGATCCCTGGCAAAGACACTCCGAAAACCGCCAACGACCGCAAAAATTGCCAGAATTTTAGGCCACATTTTCTTCGGAAAACCTCTCTCAACTATTGACTAAATTATGCCGAAAGAAACAATTCTATTGGGCGTTTTATGCGCCAATAAAAACCGGTTGTTATTCTCCAACTGCAAATTGGAATGTTTATCAAGAATTAAAATTTTCCAAAGTCTCCATATCAATTAACCCCACCATATCGACTTCACTTATTACCATCAAAGATGTTTCAGCAGCGAAATACTTTTTTTACTTTACTTAAGTGTCAGGGCTAACTGCATGCATACGAATACAAAATGTGCCACTTGCAAAGCCATAGTTGGTTAACTAGAGGCGTCAAGGGTACATTTCATACCGTGCACCTCTGTAGCTTTTATATTGGCTAATTAAAAATGTTTTTTTGCACTTTGGGATAAATAGCCAGTTAATTGCTTTCGATATTTTCAGAACGTGAATTGAAAAATGAATGATTCAGTATTTGCCATTGGCATGAGCAAAGATCACTTAGTTGAACAAATTGTAGTTTTAAAACCATTTAAGAAAAAATATATCCTCAAACGTACTCATTATGTAAGAAATTTTGATAGTTTTTATTCCTTTATCTGCTCTGATTTACAGTTTCTCATTAATGAATGGCGATAAAAAATGCAGAACAAAACAGCAATTTTTGGGCAATTTTGGGAAAAAAACTGTAGCAGAAATCTTAAAACGTTGATACAATTTTGAGAACATTTAGTGTCTTTTATCAATTTAGCAAGTTTTGGTTTTCTGCTTTTTATGGTGCGCTACTTACGGTACGGATTTTTATTAACACATCGGCAAATTTTCAACATGCCTGCATCTTATCAATTCAAAAACTAATTCGCTAAAACGCTTCTCTTTAATGGAAAATTGAAATTTAACTCTAAATTGAGAGCAAAGTAAATTTAGAGATAAAAATTGTTAATGAGACTGAATTTTGCAGCACTGACTGAAGCACCGGCACCATATGAATTATTCAGAACTGCAGGAGTTTACACGTTCTGGTTTCGCTTATTTAAATTGACAAAAGCAAGCATTTAGAACTCAAAACTGTTCAGTTAATGTAAGTCTTCAAAAACTCTCAATTAAAAATGTGTACAGATTTTTACAATTTTTCCATCGATTGTAGCTTTTATCTCCTGATTTGTTATTTCTGAATTTATGAAGCAAAAGCACCAAATTGCATAAAAAAATATTCTCCAAAAATCCGCTATAGTCGGGATTCAATCGTTTCCTTTGAACTTTGCAAGTGAAACTTTTAGTCAAACTGATGAAAAAGTGGAGTATTTTATTGGAAACAATTTGTAGATTTATAAATCATATGAATATGCGCAAATTTATAGACGCTCACGTCGGGTCACCTAAAGAAGAGACACTCTGTATAAAGAAAAATTAGTTTTTTACACACAAATACATTTTTTATGGAACATTTCCTTGTAAAGCGTCTTTTGCTATGTTGATGTTAATTGAAAGCTGGCAGAGAATTTTAGTATACATATTTGAGTTAATAATTTAAACATTTTAAATTTTTATCAATCGAATAAGGGTTTTTTCGGGAAAATTTCGATTCGATTCATCGCAAACTTCCTTGCCACGGCGGCCTGAAAGTCGAAAAAATCACCAGGTTTATTTTAAAATTAACTCTAAAACTCAATTTCAATTTTCTGCTAAAAAATCTACTAACACACTTTGGGCGGTTCTCTGTTCTTATGCCATTCAATAAATGTTTCTTTATTGATGTAGTATCAACAAACCTTCGGTTATTACGTGATGACCTCACGGAGTAAAATAATTATAAAATAAAATTAATTATTGCTGATGCAACAGTAAATATTTTATTAAATTTCACGATCATGCACAAACGCATCGTGGTTATATTCATATTTTTAAATCGCTCCAATTAACCACGACTGCGAATAATGGAAATTATACGAAAAGTTTTGCGACTGTGCCTTTTCGGGTTGGTTGTAAGTGAATGTGCAGGAAACTTAGAGAAACCTAAACTGCGTAAGTACCTTATCCACATTAAGTGATAAATCAGTAAATCAACATCACATGGTGCTAAATGGTCAAAATGCAGCTGCAAAAAAACATCTGCTAATGAGGAGACTGGCTTTCCAAATTTAGATATTAGTCGAAAATCACATAAATATTAGCATGATCACTATGCACCAGCCGAAGCCAACATATCAAAGTTAATTGTTTTAGCATCGTTCCTGAAAATTTGCCCAAAGTCTGACCCCAACATTAAACAATGCCTAATCGACTCAATAGAACAATTGCGGCCACTTATGGCCGAAGGTATTCCCGATTTCGGAATACCAAGTTGTGAGCCCTTAATTATTCCCGAAGTGGTCATCGATCAGGGAAATGGGCCAGTAGCTGTTAAATCCACCTATAAAGACATTGAGGTGTTTGGAGCATCGCAATTTTTAATCAAAAATATCAAGTAAAAGTTCAAAGATTTGCCTGCAAAAAACGCATCAAATTGATTTCAGGATTGACTTGGAAAAAGATAGAGTAAAAATCAAGATTTTCATTCCAAAGATGCAAATTAACACCAATTATTCGATGCAAGGGCAGATTTTGCTGATGCCCATCCGGGGATCGGGATTAAGTTTTGGAAATTACAGTAAGTTTAATGTATTTTAAGAACAAATCACTGGTTTTCCAGTTCAGATTACTTCTTACTTTACTTTTGCTGGTTGCTTTTTCAATATTTTCAAATGGTTGTACTTTATTATTTCTAGCAAACATTGACGCAACAATAAGCATGAAAGCTGAGCGAATTAACAAAAGCGCAGAAATATATTACAATATCAAAGACTGTTATATCGATTTTAATATCGGGCATGCTAAATTGAAGTTTGAAAATCTTTTTAATGGGAATCAAGAACTTGGTAAGTCCCATTAAACCATCAAACGTATCACTAAATTAAGGTTGAATATTTTGCTGTTGTAGGAGATGGAATGAATTTGTTTTTGAACGATAATTGGAAAACGGTGGCAGATGAAATCAAACCGGTGGTCGAAGAGCAATTGGCGGGTATTTTCAAAAGGTTTTCAAATAAAATATTCCACAAATACCCTCTTAGCATGCTGTTTCCTGAATAGTTTCCGTAGATCAATTAAAAATAAACGAATTTTTATATAAAAATATTCCTTGAAAAATAAATTAAAAAATTTTCTGTTTAGATGCTTCCTTTTCGCCCATCGCCAAAAGATCGGTAGAAAGTAAAGGCCATACAACCGACAGTGTGTGTCTCTTTCTCACTCATTATTCACTTGATTTGTGAATCAATCCATTTCAGTTCTCATGTTTAAGCTGTGGTTTATATATAATTTTACAAGCCACAGCAAATTATTAAAAAATCCAGTTATAAAGTTCGTTAAAAGCAGCAAAACGGCGTTAAGAATTGAGAGTAGATCACCATCGGTTGGTAATACCACAGTAACCAGGGTGACCAATGGCACGGTCATTACCGTATATGTAGGGTAATTTGGGCAATTGTACCGTGTAGGTCCAAAACGCGTTACCGCACGCCAATACCAATCGATATTTTTTGTTTTTCTGGACTTTTCTGGTTCAAAATCTCTGGTTCGGTAAAATACGGTATTTTCAAATGGCTTGTACGGTAATACGCGATTGAAAAGAGTTGGCCACCCTGACGGTATCACAAAATGTCAATATTGGCAAGAGTGACAGACATGATGACATTTCCAATGTTTTGAAAACATCCAGAACTTCCAATAATTTACAAATTGAGCGCGTTACAAGCTGGAACTTGAGTCTCAAAGTATAATTGTGGAGAAGTGTGAGGCGACGATACATTATTTTCTAAGTGCGGCCACTTTGGGTGTCCTAACCCCATTCTTGTGTCCCCGTTCATAACTTTGGGCATGGAAGCCTCCTCTTCAGCCGCGGCTCAGGAGCCTGAAAACGGCAGCGAAGAAAAGAAGCCCCAGAAGCAGACGAGCCGGTTTAGTAACCTGCAGAACATTCGACAGAAAAAGCAGCAGTTGTTATTGCTGCCCATGAGCAAGAAGTTACAAAGGCTTGCCATGTATTCTAAGTGCCAGGTGAGCTCTAGTGGGAGCATTGAGCTTATTATTGCCGTAAACCGTACAAATTTACTTCAGTTTAACTCAACTTTTGAATTTATTGCCCAGTGCATTCTACATAAATTCGTTTTCAAGATATCCAGCTGTAACTTAGCACACACTTAAACCGGTTTTTTAGTAACGGGCGTTTAAAGTTTTTTAAGATTACGGATTTGCGATCTAAAAAATTCAAATCTTCAAGAGAGAGCAGAAAAATACATACGATTTAAAGGCCCTCGAAGTATGAAACAGCTTATACCTCTGAAACGGCTGGAAATAAATATATTTCAGTACTTATTAATACTTATTAAGTCTTATCGAATTTCAGCGCCTTTAGCACTACATAGACATCTAATAGTAGTAACTTCTATAGTTTAACAACAGCCAAACTTAGTTCTTTACTGAGAAAAAACATTTTTTCAGGAACAAAATTGCGATTGTATCGGCTGGAAAAGGCCTGTGAAGACAGAAAATCCACCTGCTCCTGAATTTGACGATCCTTGTCGATGCGGCCATTTATTAGGTAACTTTTACTAAATCTCTTTTAGAGGAGAATTGTTGCATTTCATTCTAAACTGTTTTACAGAACTGCATGTATCACATCTCAGAGCGAAACCCGAAGAAACTATTAATTGGCTATTAGGAATGGCCTCGGATGTGGATATGGTGCAAGCTGCCATGTCTAAGCAGAAGAACCCAGAAACGCGAAAAGTGTACTTGTATATTTTCACGGTTAGTAACACACTAAACTATTTAATTTTTCAAGCACCAAATTGTCAAGAAACAAACTCACATGGTCTGCAACAGACTTGGGGAATCAGTCAAGCTTTAAATCGGAAATGTTTTTAATCAACAGGTCTTAAGGAATTCCGTTTTAACATTGGAAAAACCTGTAGTGGATGGTCCGGTGGGACAACCGCCTTTCGAAAAACCCAGCATTCAAAAGGCAGTTACGAATCTACTGGTATATAAATACTCTCATATTGGCCAGGAGCTGAAGACGATGTACGAACTAGTCAAGCTGCTTTTCCATTGCTTGAACACATGGGACTTTCCAGCGCCCAGCAGCCAAAAGTATCTTGTAAGCCCAGAAGAGGCCAGCCTGTATACCATCGAATATACCAGGTGGTTAATTTTTTGCCACATTCCCACGTTCTGCGATTCGTTGCCACACTATGAGACAACGCAAGTGTTTGGGCGCCGGCTACTCAGAGCGGTATTTAAGTACATCCGCAAGCAAATGATGGACCAGTTTCACAAGGAAAGAGACTCCATGTCTCCAGGTATAAGGAACAGTCTGATAAAATTCTGTTGCTGCAACTAAAGGTTTTCCAGAAAAAAAGATCATGCTTCTCAATCATTTTCCACCGTTCCTGAATCAACTCGACGAAGAAATTTACTCACCAAATTCTCCCATTTGGGACCCTGAATTCAAAGCTCAACCAATCACCTTCCCATTGGAGAGTGGTAAAGGAAATCGAAGTAAGATTTCAATGCTTAATACTCTTGCAACTAGTGAAACTTGGAAACTAATACTAGAAAAACTATTGCAGGTAGTGTTTGCTTGAGAAAAGGGGAACCTGAGCGCGTATCTGGGAGTGGGGGCGAGAAAAGTGCAGCTTCGACCACATCAGTTTCGCCAGGTAATTAAACATTTAAAATAATAACTCGTTTTGAAATGTTATTTTTAAACCAATCAGGAAAAACGGTGAAGTCCTCAGACTCCCAAAGAGACGCAAAAAGGAGAAAACTCGCACCGGAAGAAGTATTCGAGGATCTTCCGAGAGAAACCGTGGAACAGATTACTAGCATTATTGACGATCCTAATTACATGAGTGGAACGGACGTAAGCACAATAACATCATTGGTCTATCTCTGTCTTTACTTCGTTCTTTAAGCAGGTGTTTTCTGAAAATTCCGCAGCCACAGACGAAGCCCCGAAAAACGAAGAAAAAAATGGCATAATTCAACTGCACTTGATTGGAAACAGTTTGACTCAGCCCGTGTCGAAACAAGTCATGTTGTGGCTGATCGGGTTGAAGAACGTGTTTTCCCACCAGTTGCCCAGAATGCCAGAAGAATACATCACTTTGCTGCTATTTGATCCGTAAGCTTTTTTTTTCAACTAAAATTTGTGTCACTATTTTCACTGCTCTCAGCCTTAATAAGAATTAGTCGAACTAATTTCCTTTTTCTTGTCAGTAAACACCGGACGATTGCTTTGGTGAAAAACAACCAGCCAATCGGAGGCATCTGCTTCCGGCCGTTTTTCACGCAAGGTTTCACTGAGATCGTTTTTTGCGCTCTAATTTCGCGGGAGCAAATCAAAGGCTACGGCACTCACATGATGAATCACCTCAAAGATTATCACGTTTCTAAGGGCATTTATCATTGTTTGACATATGCGGACAAAGAAGCTATTGGTAAGTATTCATTAGTTTTCCTAGTTTAATTTGCTACTACTTGATTGTTTCCAGGTTACTTTGAACGGCAAGGATTTTCCGACCACATCAAGTTGAACGCTTCAGTTTACCAAGGATACATCAAGGAGTATGAAGCCGCGACCCTGATGCATTGCGAGTTGAATCCGAAGATTATTTACACTCAAGCCACCAATGTGTTGCAGAGGCAGAAGAAATTTATCAAGCAACTCATATGCCAGCAGCAGAAAACGGTGTCGAAAGTACACCCAGGGATAACTTTTTTTAAAGACGGTAAGTGAGCATCAAACTGAAGTGAAGTTATGTTAAAAAAATGTTTTTTTTAGGCGTGAAAAGTATTCCAGTTGAATCAATACCCGGCCTAGAAGAAACAGGCTACAAGCCCGCTACCAGAGTGACTAGAGGACAGCTTTTAGAGGAATCTCAGGACATAGATACCCTTGCCAATATGCTGAAAACCGTACTTAATGCTGTAAGATTGTTACCGGCGTTTGACAAAAGCTTTCGACTAACTTTAGAACTTTTCAGGTAAAGAATCACGAAGCTTCCTGGCCGTTTAGACTGCCAGTGATCAAAGCCGACGTTAAGGACTATTATGACCATATCAAATACCCAATGGGTAAGTTTCCCCTTTACATCGATCTTCCTGCAATAATTGAGTAATTGTGTTTAGACCTCAAAACCATGACCGAAAGACTTAAGGCCAAGTATTACGTTTCTCGACGCCTGTTTATCGCCGATATGATGAGAATTTTCACCAATTGTAAAATCTACAACGCCCCAGAAACCCCCTATTATGAATGTGCGGTTACTTTGCAGCATTATTTTCAGACCAGGATGAAAGAGCTCGGATTATGGGACAAATAAATGTAAGTCATGTTTAGATAAAATGTACAAAATAATTTAAAAAAAACCTTTATGCAACGAACCATAAGTTACTTAAACTCTAGTTAAATAAAGCAACGACAGTTAAAAGAAAACCAGTATAATAAAATTCTATACAATGTTACATAGACATTAAAATGACTAGTCAATTCATAATATAATATCGCAATAATTAAAAACAGGTCAATAATGTTAAATAAACTATACAGTTACAACAATAATTAGCTGAGTTATATAATTAATACTATCACTGGGAAATTGCGTACAAATATTCGTTTGTGAAGGGTAGAAAAAGGACAATCATGAAGTCTTGGTCTAATTCAAACTGCCTATTTTCCAGAAATTTCTAGATGTAGAATAGAATATTCTTTAAAGTAAAAAACAATCATCAATTGAACACAACGTGAATCTAAACTATTAATTTGGGTTGTAACTACAGAACCCGGCAAAACAACTTTATACAAAAGCATGTGGAACTTCACTTACTCAATTCATAAAAAGCATTAGACCTAACAATTCCCAAGCGGATGCCATATACGTGATGTGTTTCTTAAAAATAACAACACATGTACCCATAATTTCCGGCCCTGTCAAGTTCCAAGTGGAGCCCCAGTTAATCAATCAATCGAATCAGCACAGTTCGTTCAGCTAATAGCATACAGGATCATACAAATAAATATCCTAGACTATAAAAAAAAGTACAACACTTAAGCTACAATTAATAAATAATAATAAGAATTAACATCACCATGTAACAAGTAATGCACATTACCATGTATCCGAGATTCATTTAGCTACACAATATTGGCTAATCGGTATGGCAGCTGTTTGATTTATCAGTTGGAATTTGAGGTTTCAATAAGGCTGTTAAGGCTTGAGTTTCACTTTCTAGGAGAAGTAGATTAGAAGATAAGACTAAGAAAACATACTTTCTAAAAAGTATTTTAAATGATTGGTTATAGTTAACTCAACAATTAGGTGCGTCTTCTTTGTTTATACGTTTATATGTATACGTAAAAATGAGGACAAATAGCACTAAAGGCTTTGGTTAGTATTTGAATTTTAAAGGCCTATTTCTAGTCGTTTAGCTGCAATCTTCTCTGAAGAAAAAAAACATACAATAATAGATTTAAGTCTTTTATGACATCACAACACTAATTATGAAAAAGCTCCTCCTTTCTTTATCCCACATTGAATTAAGTCAAAGCACTTCTTCCTCGTACATCGAGTATGTGCATGAAAGATTGAGAATTAAACAACTTCGTTGTTTCAAAGAGAATCAACTCATTTTTCAAAACATGTTTTATTCCACTGCGTTTTTGGGTGGAATTGAAACTGTCCAAAATCAAACTGGACTTGGAAGTAAAACCTTTCTATGTCTAGAACAATTTATGTTCTGTATTTCACTCAGCAATTATTAATTGACCCTAATTCAAAGACTAATAGAAAATACAGTACGACGAAATTCAACTGACTAGACTAGAGTTACTGGGCTATGACTAAGTAGGTTAGCGTTCACTAGGACTTTGTTCTCTTCTACTTTAAATACAAAATAGTTTTTTCTTTAATAGAAAAAATCACACTGTTTATGTTTGTGCTTTGGGTATTATTATTTAGACCTTAAGCTAATCAAATGTTATTAAGAAAGTTTCCCCTAGTCCTGAACTGTTAGAGGATTCGCTAATCAGTGGCAAACAAGCAAAATCCAGTAATCACTCCAGGACTTCAACTAGACCGTGCGGGAAAATACATTTCTAATCCGCTACTGGTAGTTTAAGCAGCACTTTCATTTAGAATACGTCGCGTTTCTACGAATTGCAAAAACTGGAAAAAACCTAGCGCCTATCATCTACCTAGGAAATCTTACGGATATCGCCAAAAAATGCGAAAAATACTTTTATTTGTCGGTTGAGACTAGAAATTAACGTTTATTATTCGAATTGAATTCGAGATTTGTTGAGGCCGTTGCTTGCTAGATACTGCAATCACTATCATCGGACAATTCCAGTGTACCTTCCAAGTTTTCCGACAGTAAATCTTCATTTCCTTCATCGGACGAGCTAGAATATCGGGAAAAACAGTTTATAAGTATTTTAGAAGATTTTTGTTTCGGTCTGGTTAGTAGGAATCGACTCAGGAAGCTCAATCGTCTGTTTTTAGTGCTCGAATTTTTGCTGTTTTTTTGGGTAAATGATTTTGGAATGTTTTATTCGTTAGAAGCAGTTTTTATTGCGGGCAATGTTATCATTCAACGGCAAACGTTCTACGTTGTTATAATATATAAATCTGGGTTAGTTCTTCGTTTCACTAGCCATGCCTGTTTTTATCTTACCCTATCATAGCCACATTCGAAATCCCTTAAACACAATTAATACGGTAAATTAGTAGAGAAAACGTTGCCTGGGAGGCACCACATACTAATCCAGATAACCAACAGCAATATTTCGTTCTGTTCATTCTAGATTCTCTGATGGGAGATTAGGGCAAAAATGTACGTTGTGCAGTAAAAGCTGCATAAAATTTTAAAAGATCCTCAATTGTTTCATTTGTGGCGCCCCCATTTCTAAAGAATATTAACTTTTGAGTATCTAAAACCTTGTATAAATACTGTATTAGATTATCGATAACCATCGCCAGTTACGTCGAATTTACTATAATTTTAAACTACTACTAGCAAATGAGAAAAGTGGATACTTACATACTATCATTTTGGTCATTTCCGCCTTCTTCAGCTACGAGTAGTTCGTACTCTTCGGCTGCGTATCTGTCCCAGTCCGACATCTGGGAAAACATTTCAATTTACTACCAGGCTTAACTTAGTAAACCATTAACTCACCTCCATGCCATCGAGATCGTGATCGCGTTGCGATGCAAACGGATCTCTTTGTTCATGGTCCAAATATTTCTCCAAATTGAAGAAAGTGTCGAAGAAAATGGAGGTCATTTTGCATTTTTTCAAATCGCTCAGCGCAATTTTGCCGGGGATTTTGGGTTTGACCAGATCCAGCATTTGGCAGAGACAATCCTGAAAAACAAACCAACAGGACTCAATGGTTGAAGTGATTTTTTGCGCTTTCACTCACCTGGAAAGGCAAAGTTTCAATTCCAATGCTATCCATGCGCTGCATTTGCTCTTCGTAGAAATATTCCAGTTCATACATGGATAGGTACCCGTCGCCATCCAAGTCCATGCAACGGAACCAATACTCGATGGCTGTTGGGTGCAGTTTGTCTTCCTCGCTCAGCAGGAACCACACAAAATCTGTATAGGACATTTTCTCCTCCTGATTGCGCTTGTTTCCTCTTGTGACGCATCCACAGAAGATGCGATCGATTATGCGAGAGGACAGAGCTGAGGACAAGAACCACCTATTGTTTCTCCTACTCCACTTCGGCTCCAGCCGCACTTACCATGATCATTGTGTCTTGTCAGGTCCTGCTTATCAATGAACAGATCATGGTCTCGATCCAGCTCCCAAAACTTGCAATAAATCACGTAGAAATGCTCGTAGCTGAAATAGTGAGTGATCTGATTAATGTCCTCCTCCTCTTCCAATAGCTGGATGATGGTGAGCAGGTTGGATCGTCTCAGTTCCGCTATCGAAATTTTCGCCGACCAGGACCGATTGACGCAATAGTATATCCTGCAAAAGCCGCGCATTCCAGCTAGAATTTCCAGAGGGCAAAGGCACATCACCTGGCAATCACTGTGTGAACGTATCTCGAGTGGAACTCGGTGGCTTCTTTCAAGAACGTGAGCCCTGGATGGGTTTCTACAACGTCTTGCACCATAGGAATGAAGTCTTCAGGAACTAGATATTGTCTGCGCCCTCTGGTCAGGATGTACACGAAACGGGCAGCTGCATCATGGCAGGAAGATGCCATTCTAGAAGACATCTGGATTTAATTTTAACTTGTGGAATACAATGAGCACTTACCCTTGCCAGAAAGTCATAAACTGCTCGAAAGTACACGCGCCTTTGTCCGCACATGCTGCCAAATAAAGCGGTGTTTTCCAGTACAAAGGCAACTGGCACTCCTGGATTATGGCACCAAAGTGCTCTCTAAAACAGGCTTTTATCAGCATTGTAACAAACTAGTGGTGTTTTCGTTTACAATCCACGCAGGTTAAATTTCATTAATTAAATGTTTTTTTTTACCTAGACGCTCTATCTCCTATTGCCGCAAAGGCCGCTTTCACTTTGGACTTGATGACTTCCAACTGTCCAGGCGGTACCGGTTTTCCAGCAGGATAGTGGAACCTGGGAATGTTAACATTCCGATGGGCCCGCACGTGCCTTTGGAGAGTCGTGTGTTGCAAGGAGGCTTGCTTTGGTAAAGGCTAAAAACAATATATTGCATAGAAGAACCACGTGTAACTAAACACCTGACTGGGCTGAAAACATGTATCAAATGTAAATAAGTGCAAACAGAAATTCGTTCTGAAAACAGTTAACATGCGAATTGTTAATGTAAGGAACATCTTGCGTATGGTAGACATGAGCGAAGGAATTTGAATTAAAATAAATAGTCCAATTGGCATGTTTTATTGCTGCATTTTGAATGATGTGTTTAAAACCCGAGTTATAATTCCACTTCGTTAAGTTCCCGCAGTTCTGGCATAAAATACTACTGTTTGGGCAAAACCAGAAAGTTGTTTTAGTTGAAAATGCAGATAGGAATTCGGTAAATAAGTTCCTTTCAGCAAAAAGGCAAATTTGCGGTTGAAATCGACGTTTACGATTGGGGAACTGGCAATTAATACCGGCAATTTCACAGTTTGCTTTTCAAAAGTGTTAGTTGTATGAAGTAATGTTGATCGAAGTAAATGACTTTTTTCTGTAAAAATCGTGAAATGTACGACTTAAAAATTTATTTAACGAATTTGTCAGACATATTTTTCTATATAAAATATATATTTCCGACATAATAGATTGTTTATCGGTTAGCCGAACAAGTTTCCTCTGAGTCAGGATTTTTCTCACCTCCAAATCCAGTGCCGCTTTGTGATGCAAAAATCACAATTAATTGAACGTGTGTTTAACTGAACAATTCACTAGTCAATTTTCGTAAGTTTCTGCGACTCGCAAGATTTCATCATTCCTGCATTTAACGTCTGATTTTTCGGAGAATGATTAAAAAATTATTGACTTTTGCAAAGAATATTTTTTAAATTATTTACTAATTCCCCCTAAAAAGCGCATTTAACGATGTGTTTCGAAAAGTGAACTGAAACTCAGATAACGCAATTTGGACAAGAACTTCATTGAAACTGTGTTTTTTTAGTAAATTACCCAGGAAGGTGTACGGTAACTTTAGTTAGGTAAGTGTGGCAGGGACATGAATCAGTCACGTTTTGCTTCATAAACTTAAGTGTTAAATTGCAATTTTCAGAAAAATAAAGTCTAGAATAACTATTCAAAATGTTAACAACTTACTCCAATTTAAAAATTGTTCCATTATTTATTCAATGGAAGAATGTTTCTATATGGAAGCAAAGGATCATCAAAAGTGATTGGTGAATTTATGTACCTCAAAAGGCTCCAAAGTTGCAGACAAAGTATCGAATGTTATTTTTTTATGCAAGAAGCTAAATAATTGCTCCGTAAGCACGCTACTGCAATTGATTCAAATCAGGCCCAATTTTATTAGCAACAAACCAAAAATTCCCTGGAAAGCGTGTAAACCTTTCTTTCATTGTAAAATTATTTATGAAACATTATGTTTTATCAAATCCTTCGTTTGCGCTGATTTATACATGAAGCAAAAATAACTTGTTTTTTGTATGCTTTATCGGACACTGTATAAAGAGAAACTGTCCGTTTAATCGTGGAAAACATTGAAATGTTACTGTTTAGTGCGCTTTTCACAAAAAATCTCAAGAGTAAAACTGTACTAAATTTGGTGCAATAGTTTGTCGGTTAGTGCTTGGTTTTGCAAAAAATTGGTCCGTAAGATAAAGTTTCTACAGGGTAGCAAATGAAACAAAGCAAAATTGGCGAAAGTCGCGTGTTCTTAGCTCGACAAAAAAACTATTTTTTGTATTTCAACGCCACAAGCGTAAAAGGAGACCGCATATCTCAAAAAACCATTTTTGAATTTTTCGCTCATCTTTTTATTGCCCGAGTGGTCTTTAAAAAAATCAACGCTTGGTTTTGCCGTGATCATTTTTTTCTTCTTGAACCGATATTGCAGAATAAAGGTTAATTTTGTTGAGCAGCTTAGAACAAAAAACACTTTCGCTCTCTCGCAGAAAAGATTGAGGCAACATTTTCCAATGTGTTCAAGGTAAATTTGCAACTTTAATCGTTTTTTTTTTCGGAATAAATGTGATTCACATCCAACGTTTCGATTGCGTATCGGGCATTCATTCTCAAAGATGAAACAACAGTGAACGAATTTATTTTGGGAAAATTTGACAAAATATCCGGTTGTTAGTTTTGCAAATGAAACAAGTTTATAATACTTGAAAAATTGATTTTTCAACCTGTCTAATGAGTGTCGGACGAGTTATCCGCGAAATTCGTAGATAAATTCTGTGAGTTATTTTAATCGAAAATTAATATTTTGAAGAAGTTTCAGAAAAAAAAAATTGCGTAAAATTACTCAAAAAACCTTCTCATTATCTACATATAATCTTTGGGCGGACCCCAGTAAAAACACCATCAATTAGACTTTTTAAATACATTAAACAGTAGTTCCAAGCCTTTGAAGTGCCTTCCTGCATGGGAAAATTAATATATTTTTAATACTGGAAATTAATTAACCAACGGAGATTCGTAGAACTGAAAAAGTGACGGCAGAGAAAACAAGCCACTCAATTATCCGGTTATAAAACTATTAAAATGATTTAGTTCCAAGCCGTTATGACACATTGTGTCCAATTAGTTTGAAGCCTAAAGTAACACCTAAGTGATGTAATGGACAGGAAACAAGGAATTATTCCTCCTACAAGAATTTTGAACAAAAACAGGTGTATGCATGTTATAAATTTTTTGCCAAGTGGAAAAATGCTCCGTTGTTTTACAGGGTGCACCAACTGAAATAAAACCAAACCAACCACATTTCCTCAATGGACTTTGGTCCAGTTATTTTTAGAAAAATGGTTTCGTAACAATAAGTAAAACCATACCACAATAGATTTGCACCGTTAATAAGCCACGGCCTTAAAACGTTGCATAACGAAATACTATATGTTTAGTATTACCTTGCCGGTATTGTGGGCCCCCACTGAAAATGTGGGCGGCCAGTTAAAATTTAAATTTCTTTCACAAATAAACACCGACTGCCTGAAGTCAAGGCCGATAGTTTATTTATTTACCAAATAATTCGCATGGCGATTCAAACCATCTGTGCCCCAACATGTAACGATTACAATAATTTCACTTCCAAATCAAAATTCATTCCTGGGTCTCAGTCATTTATTGTCTCTATTTATTAATCAAAATACGTTTCGGTGTTTTTCACCATCATCAGTTTTTCTAAAATAACAGATAGTTTACAAAAAATGTCATTAATTTAAAAAACAATCACAGTTCGTCAACAGCTTCATCAT